ATTTTGAACGAAATCGTATATCAAATGAAAAGAAATTGTCCTATATAATGAGGGGCTGTTCAATTAATATTCTTAGAGGCCTGAGATTGTTTTTAGATAGCATATCCTATCAGCACTTCAACGCAACAAATCTGAAAGGTGAAGCAGACTCACAACATTAACATTTAGGTCATCAGGTGAATTTTAAAGGAGCACTGATCTCTGGCTTCTACTCGGCTGTCTGACACTGGCCGCTAACTCAACTGAGCGTGACAAGAGACTGGGCTACCGTCTGCAAGGACAGCTAAATAAACTTGGAGGCAATATTTGTTTTACGCCATTTTGAACACTGATTGGTTACCCGTTATCTCTGAAGATTTCGACAAAGGGCGCCTGTTAATTAATTTCTTCAGCCTACACAAACAAAAAGAACGGCGGAAGCTCATCGGATGTCGTCATTTGGAAATACCACTGATGGTTATAGTTCAATAATTAAAAAAAATTTCCCTGCAGTGAAAGCATTTTCGGATTTCGGATTACGTGGATAATACTATTACTACTCCCTTTTTGTCATCCATGTTTTCTGGTATAACCCTACACTTGTGTATTTGTCATCATTCACTTGATGCTCAGTTAATAAATTTCTTACAGGTATCATTAGTGGTAGCACCACTCTGATTACTTGATAAAGGTTCCCATTTGGCATTTATTGTGTCTGGGGCAATTATTCTATCTAAATCCAGGTTTAAAGTGAGGTGAAATGTGTGTTATGTAATATGCACGTGGCAGCCCAGCAAGAGATGAATGATCAGTTGATTTACTTTTTTGTAAATCAACGGATCTTTCCTAGCCATCAAAGGATCAACAGAAAATACGTTGATTGATTAATCACTGTTATCGTGCAAAGTGGATATGTCAAAAGTAAGTGTTTACATGTGTAGGTTTACTAAAGCTAAGGTAATACACTCATCGTGGCGTGAGGTGCCGATGCAAAAACAACTTACTTTGTTCAAAGGGTTAACCGATAATACGTCAATTGATTACTCCTTGTTATCTAACTCAATGAGTGAGTGAGTGAGTGAGTGAGTGAGTGAGTATGGTTTTACGCGGCTTTTAGCAATATTCCAGCAATATAATGGCGGGGGACACCAGAAAGGGGCTTCAGACATTGTACCCATGTCGGGAACCGAACCCGGGTCTTCGGCGTGACGAGCGAACGCTTTAACCACGCAGCTACCCGACCGCCCCTCTAATTCAATGATGTTTTTAAAGAACCGTGGACATTATGAAAGTAGTTGTCACGTGGGCTTTCTCAGCTGATCTGTGAGACTTGACACCTATGTGAAACAACTAAAACAAACACGGGTTATAATATCCCGAAACTATATACATATTTTTAAATATTTGATTGTTACAGAGACACGTGACATTGAATAAGTTTCTTTGTACACCTGCAGACGTGTGGGATATTGTTCCTTTATGTGGATATTCACGGATTCATTCCTCGAACAAGGTAGCTGCCTAAAATTATGCATATAACTTTGGTGGGTTGTAATTATGATATTTGCATTTTGTTTTCATTCATTTGCTGTAGCATTGAACAGAATCATTCTTGTTCGTCTACGTCTTGGATGGGAATTTCTTCGATGCGCGATAGACGTTGTTTTCACAAGTATTTTCCTTTGTAAGCGTGTATACGTTACAGTCATTGTGTAAAATGTGATTCACTCTGGCAATTTATAAAATGTCTAAATATACTCAACAACAAAAGTTCCTGTGACACCAATATTTTAGTGTAAAGTTTGGTTTCCAATATTGTAGTACATGTATGGAATCAAGTCACAAAAACGCAAATGCTACAGAAAAACATGCATTGCATGCAAATGTTGACTTTTATGCAAGCCCCATGCATTTTCCTACCCAAGAATGGGTATAAAAACATGTGCGTTAACGGGATTCCATATGCATTGTTTAGCAACGTGCTGACAACAACCTCTCAGAAAAACAACAAAATTACGCAATTATTCAACATTACGAAATGCCACGCCTGTCCGAAAATGAGCATCTGCGAGCCATTGGAAAGCTTCAAGTAGGATCGAGTCAACGTGATGTTGCAAGACACAGGGACGTCCACAGGGACACCATTTGGTGTTCACGGCAACGTTGGCAACAGACGAATGCAGTCAGAGACAAGTGGGGACAAGTTCTATTGACTGACGAGTCTCGTTTTCACCTCAGCCACAGCGATGGACGGTTTCGAGTGTACCGACGTCGGAGTGAACGTCACGTCAATCATTCTGTCATGGAAGAAGATCGGTTTGGGGGCGGCAGCGTTATGGTATGGGGTGGGATTACGGCGAAACAGAGGACCCGTTTGATAGTGGTAGAGGGAAATATCAATGGACAGCGCTACCGCGACGAGATCATCGGCCCGTTTTTGCGTCGTCATGGCCCAGGCATTACCTTTCAACATGACAACGCTCGACTTGTTCAGGATTCTCTTCAACAAAACAACGTAAATGTCATCCCCTGGCCGGCTCGCTCCCCTGATCTCTCACCAATCGATCACATGTGGGATGAGATGGATTGGCGCCTTCGACGTCAACCAGGTGTTCCACAGACACGGCAGGAACATGCTTCAGCAGATATCACAAAATCCATATATACAAGCTTGTATATGCTTTGGAAAGATGATATATCCAAAGCATATACAAGTTTTGAATGATGAAATATACTAAAATATACAAGTTTGTATATATGACATATACAAAAATTTACAATTTTGTATAAATGATGTATCCAAAATTGTTTTTCTTTGTATATATCAGTAAAGGGAGATAATTGTTATGCATTCGTGTATACTTATTGTATATGTGCAAAATGAAGAGTTTTAAGTTGAGCACTGTGTTGCTTTGTAAATGTAAATGGTAAAGGGGGATATTGCCATGTATTGTTCTATAATTGTTTTGTATGTGCAAAAAGCCGATCAAAATTATTGGCTAGTTACAAATAAAACTGATATAGTGGCGTGTAAAATTATTGGAATGTTTAATTAGTACTCCTCACTGTTAGCGGGAGTCCTTTCTCTCCTTGCAATGATATTGGCGGGCAAGCGATTGAGGCGTCTGGTACTTTTCCTTGCGCGGTGCTTATAAGTAATTATGACATGGTTTATATTTGTTTAGGATGTTACGAAATTAAACATATCTATTTCTGTTGAGTGATTGAGTGATTGTTGTTTAACGCCGCATCAACAATCGTCTAGCTATTCGCGTCGATTGTTCCGAAGAATTATGGCTCACATTTAACCGTCCCGTTATTTTGCAGATTTTTCTCTTCATTGGTGAAATGGCACACACCTAATCCTATTCACTTCCCCAAACATTGTTAGATATGTATGCAAACTGATCAATCTGTCTTAATGATATTTGATAAGAACGTGATTTTATGGGATGTGTCAAAGCTATCATAGTGCTTTACTAAAACGCGTGTGCGAGCATGTGCACGTGCATGTATATTTGTTTTCGCGAGGTGCTCATGTATATTTGTATATGCGAGGTGCTCGTGTGATATATTCTACTATAATCCATTGGGTATGGGAGGGGATGGGGAAATGGGGTATCTGTACAAGATGTTAATGTATTCATACTTCTCACGATTTCCAGATAAGCTGCGTATTTGCGTAAAATACGCAAACTGCATTTGTAAATCACCATAAACCTTTTGAGTTGCTTGCGTACACAAATTATATAATCCAATATGCGTAATAACCTAATGTAGCTTTTCAGCTCGCGCACACCGATGTTTTTACGTATCTTTTCTTACTGACTGAATGCAGGCATCGGGTACACAAGAATTCCACTGTAGTGCATAATGCACAACTGTGCAACATCTTGGTTGGTTGGTTGGTTTGTTGTTTAACGCCGCACTCAGCAATATTCCTGCTATATGACGGCGGTCTAAAATAATCGAGTCCGGACCAGACAGTCCCGTGATTAATATCATGAGCATCGATCCACGCAATTGGTATCGATGACATGGATCAACCAAGTCAGCGAGCCTGACCACCCGATCCCGTAAGTCGCCTTTTACGACAAGCATAGTCGCCTTTTACGGCAAGCATGGGTTGCTGAAGACCTATTCTACCCCGAAATCTTCACGGGTCGTGCAACATCTTGCTTATTGTAACTTGTATCACTGTAACGAAGTTATGTAACACATCAACACATGTTGTTGTAGAAGTTAAAAACTAAAACAGTATACAAGTACAATTATTTTGAACAAGGTTCACTCATAGGTTTGCAATTAAGGATTGACTGTGTATTTTTTTTCGGTTCATTGAGGTATGAATCGAAAAACCGATGTGCAAACTGTATGAATCCGTTTAGCGGATTACAATGGCTTCCAAGGTCCGCTTCATACGGCTACGTTATTTGCAATTCTCAAAATTGCGAAAGACATCTGACCAGACTGCGTCTAAACGCCTTCGTAGCGCAGGTCTTAGAGCTCGACGTCCTGTCAGACAAAAGTGTTATTTTGACGTCAACTGAGCCGCAAGCAGTATATGCCCAAAACAGCGATGGAACATTGTTCAGCGACATTTGGGTGAGCGATTTATGCCGCACTGAGAATATGGGTAAGCTAGGGTGCACCGACATCGGCAAAATAATGTAGGTAAATTTCTCTCACACTGGTAGAATATACCTAGGGCCAGGCAACTGAACGAACCAACGCTATTGTGATGAAACTCTTCAGCCGCATGTTGTTTCCATCAAGGTATCCATCAACACGACAATGCTAGACTGCATACAACATGTGTAACTGTTGATCTGACTTCTATGAAATTAAAAGGCAGGAGAAGTATTCTCATCATTCAGGAAATAAAACATGAAAGAGAGTGAGTTTGAAAGAAAAACAGCCCGCTCACTTTTGAGAATTTATTTTACGCTGTTCCCCATAGTACATTAGTGCTTTTTGAAGATATCTATTTGTACTTTAGGGAACCAAAAAAATGTACTTACCGCAAACTCCCACTTTGATCTTGTCACTTCTGACAACGAATCGTAAAAGAGAAATCCTGTATATAAACGGACATACATGTTATTTTTACAGACGCGTTGTACATGAATAGCGAGTGAGTGAGTATGGTTTTACGCCGCTTTTAGCAATATTCCAGCAATATCACGGCGAGGGACACCAGAAATGGGTACACATTAACCACTAGGCTACTAGACCGCCCCACATGAATACAAAAGAAGGCGTGAAAATCATTATATTTACAACCTCGATCAACTTCTATTCCCTCTTATCAAAAAAGATTTCATACATATATCTTACATAAGACACAAAACGTGGATTGATCATTTATTATTAACAATTAATTATAACCAAGCAATGATTATTTCCATAGGGCCTGGGGGCAGAATAGGTACCAGATTTAGGCATAGCATCATTGTTGCCCTACTAACTAGTTAATATCAATTAACCGTAGCATCTAATGCTATTTGGTTGATATCTAATATACATGTGCACTTGCTGCATATGATTTGGTGATTATAAGTGAGACTGATACCTTATATAACATGTTATTTTAACTACAGCCCTATCAAGTTAGTGAGCACATATTGGTGGCAAAAATTCACATACACGACTACAATTACATTGTAGAGTAGTAGTAGTTAGTGAGCTAAAGTTTCATTTCATTCCTTTTATATTAATGTGTATTCATAGCAAACAGACAGGCACTATATTCGTAGAAAGGTCATAATGCCCACAGTACAATTCACACTTACGACTAATTAATAAACTATCTAAGAACAAAGGAAATGTTTTACTTCTTTTATCCATTTAGTGCCCACTAAAATGGTTGTGTTGTCTCTAATAACATTGCCTTATTTACCATTCCTTAGAAAGAGACCGTGATATGACAAGACCCATCCGCTCACTGGGATAAGTTACAGTCTCTGGCGCAACGAACCATGACCAGTGTTTTTAAAACTTTAGTTCTTTGTTCTTACATGTATGTTATGAAAGAACACTATTTATCAACAATACTTGTTTTGGTGTCAGATGTGGATCTATGCCACCGTTTTAATTATTCGAATATTTTTTGAGGATTTTTATCGGTAAAAAATACAGAGTTTATGTAATTTTATGACCAGGGAAAGATGAAATATCATTTGTTTAAAAAAATATATGAATAAGCCAAACATGACGTCTGTTGTAGTCGCCCCATTGGTTTGACTTCATATCACCTTACCATAAGTGCATATTGTATGTCAGGATAATTATAATATGATAACTACATGCTGCTCATGATACTAAGTAATGGAGGACATGAGTACACATCAACAGATGTTAAGTACATATAATTGTATAATTATATATCATAAACGTTCTTTTATCTGAAGCACTTGTATGAACTCCCATGCTCAATGTGTGAATGTTAATATGTCAAAACGTAGATTCTTACATGTAGATGTACACCTTGAAGAAGATTAAGGGTAGTCCTGATTTCTCAAGCACAAAGGGCATGTCAAACAAACAATACACCAGGGACTGGCCATCCAAGCGGAATGAGATTCTTTATTTTATAACTGATACTGTTAACGATTAACTGAACCGTGTGCGAAATACGCATCAGTCTGAAAGCGCACGTTAAATCTCCAAAGTAAGTAAGTAAGTAAGGATTAACTGAAACTAGAAACATGCTTAAACATGTGGGTTAACTCCCTCATACGTTTATATGCATGCTGGTTATGTGACTATACTGTTATATTATGAACAGATAGGTTTGTTTTAAGGAAATGATTCACATAACTACGTTTCCATAAACATATAAATAATCCTCGCCCCGACATACGCTACCCTAAGAATATTAAAAAGTCAATTCCTGAGTAAATTCGAGGTTATGAATTTTCATTTTCGGAGGACAAATAGTTTGTTTTAGATCTGGTCTGTTTTCACAAAGGAAATTCATAGTCTTTCACCATCTGCTGGAATTGCCGCCGTGAACGATACAATGATATGCAAGCTTTTTAAGGGATTGTAGATATTCAGAATAAATTCAGTTGAATACTAAACCAAACCTAAAGTTTCAATCTATGACTTTTCTGGAGTTTGTACAGAATTACAGCTTTTTAAACCATCTGACAACATGCACAAACCTGAAATCCACGTATCCGGGTCACCGTGACCTTTTAGCGCTGACTCAGCCCTTTTTGTTATTTTATCAATTACCGTCAAGCGAATATTATGGATGAAATCGTCTTTTTTGTCAGTATTATAACGTTTTGGGGCATTTGTAAGTTGATCCGAATGTTGATTATCGTCAGCTGGGGTTTCGTGATTCATTGTGGAAGATTTAAGGTTACATTGTATGGGACAATGAACATCTGAGTACAAAGGGTTAAAGTCTAAAACTTTCAAGTTTGTAAGTAAAGATAAGGTGAGGTGAAATGGGGTTTAACGTCGCGTCCAAGATTATTGCACTTATATAGCGACGTGCATGCACGTGTGTGTGTGTGTGGCTGCTTGTACTAGTCCGGACTGATGCCGATTTATAGTGCTAGCACACTGAGATACCATGCCGCAGTTTAACATGAATACCCCACTCAGACACAGTATACTGACTCCGAGCCGACCAGTCCTTGTTTTAGCCCCTTAATGCCGAGCGCCAGACAGGGTAACAACAAGTACCATATTTTAATGTCTTTTGGTATGACGCGGCCGGGGATCGAACCCCGGTCCTTCCGCTCTCCGGGCGGACGCTCTACCACTAGACCACGGACATAAAACAAAACATAATCAACTGTACTTTTGTCCCAACATGTTACCCTGCCTTCCGAACCGTCTTCACCTATTCTTCCATTGCAAATAAACAAATTCAGGTTTTTACACATATCAAGAAACTTGTATCCATGATTATTAATTTTACCTAAATCCTGACATTTTTTTAATTTAGGAAAATTCCCATCAAAAACATTGTCCGGTGTAAATTCACAAGACAATTCAACCAGATCCATATCAAGCTCTTTGAGAAGATTTTCATCGAAACTAATAAAATCATTTAAAGAACCTGTTTTTGCGTTAAAGTCTCCAAATAAAATAATATTTTTGCTTTCACTAAGCAGTTCCAGAATATCCTTTTCACATTCAGAAAAGCGTCGGAACTATAGTTCTTTGAACCTTCCGGGGGAATATATACAACCCCAAGAAAGATATCCTTGTCTGTACTAAACAATATTTTTGATATTTTAACCCGCAGGATATACTCATTTCTTTTGTCAAGTACGGATACGTACTCAGAATAGCTATTTTTGACAGCAATGGCGATTCCGCCTGATCTTCTCCTAGTATTTTCTCTATGTTGAGTAAATAAAGAGTAACCTTGAATCTCTAAATCGTCTAAAAACCCTGTTTTAGTTTCATGTAAACCAAAAAATATCTTGTCCCTGGAGCAGTTCAACACATTCTGGGTAGAATAGTCGCTTTCGCAACCCGCAAACATTTAAACTTAAGAGATTAAATGTATTTAAACCTTGTGGCACTGAATAATTGTCAAAAGGATTTACCATATCATCAACAGCATTATCATCATCATCATCATCATTGCGATCTTCATTGTCATCAGTATCGTCATCATCATCGTCGCTGTCATCATCATTATCATCTACATCGTCTTCAACATCGCTATCATCATCATCGCTATCATCATCATTGTCATCAGCATCGTTATCAACGTCATTTTCACCGTCATCTTCATCATCGCTATCATCATCATTGTCATCGATATCATTATTATCATTAACAACAGTAACAATATCATTAACAGCATCTTTTTTGTGGTCATTGTTAATAGCATCACAAACACCATCGTTAACATCAATATTAGTGTTATTAATAACATCGTCGTTTGGATGGTTGGTATCCTTACTAGTGTATTGTTTTAAACACTTATTGTTAGTACTGTTCATAAAAAGATTTTCATGAGAGAAATGTTGTTGATATTGTTGTATGTCGTTGTTGTCGTCAATGCTAGTAGTGAAAACTGTACTGTTTTCTATTTGAGAAGACGTATGCATTTCACCGACATTCCGCGTCACACGAGCAGAGATCTTCATTAAAGAGACACTGGCAGTTTCTAGTTGTGACGACACTGAATGTTTTATTCCAAGGAGATGGAGATTAGACACAGTACTAGTATGACGTACCTCGTTAGAAATGCTCGTGTCTTGAGTAAAGTTTGGTTGTTTGTTGTAGTTGACAGCGTGACCATGCTCCTAACCACCATTTCGTCTCGAGATGACAGCCTGTCTCGATGTCGCTTCTGACGTTGTTAGTGAGGCTCTATACGGGGATGGCGGTGTAACTTTCTCGAGCTTATTGTCAATATAAAGTTTGTCGACAACGATTGAGGCACGCTTGCCTTCTTTCCTTGCTGATTGAAATAAAGGCATTAGCACATCGCGCCGATAATCGCTAATTTCTAGTGGGACCTGCTGGACTACTCCATATGGTTTGTTCTTGAGTTCTTTCCCGCATCGTTTGACAGCATCCCGTTCTTTAGTATGTACGAATGCGGCTATGATAGGCCGGGGTTTAACTTGCTCGCCGGGGGACCGGGGTTTCTGTGGGTGGGGCCGATTCTGTGGACTCTCTTAAAGGATATATCATTGCTGTCCATTTCATGCTCTGATAAAGTCTCTGATAACCCGTTCGCAGTCTTCTGGGACAGTTTGTTTCCTGAGTAGAGATCCGATTTGGCGGTTTTCCTCTCCCCCTGTCGAGCCTCATGAATATTAGTAAAAATGAGGTTGTCCCGCATAGAACGACATCTCTGGTCAATGAGTGATTCTTTAAGGTGAACATTTTCTGATTTTAGCTCACCAATCACAATATCACAAGTGTTGTTTCAATTTAATCCTCTAGGTCACACTTACTGGCATGCAACAGTCTTACCTTATTCACCTTTAAACTCAGATTTGTACAACTAAGAATACTCTTTCACAGATGTAGGCGAATGTATTTATAATAATTTATTATACATGGAAGTGTTTTATGCGAAATGTTTTCCTT